GGAACCATTGAACATCCTATTGATCTTCTCCAAGCACAACAATGGGATCACAGCAATGCTACAGTAATGTCTTGGATCATGAATTCTATTTCTAAAGATCTAGTGGCTAGGGTCATCTATGGGACCAGTGTTGTGACGATCTGGCAAGTTCTTCAGGAGACTTCTGACAAAATCAATGGTTCAAGAATATACCCAATTATGCAAGAAATTGCCACAATGCAGCAAAGTTCAAACTCAATTTCTGTTTATTATATGAAATTGAAGGTTCTTTGGGATGAATATTAATCTATGGTACCTACCCCAACTTGCACCTGCGCTTCTTCTACCATCTATAAAGAACATGAGAAAACTCAAAAGGTCATGCAATTTTTGATGGGATTGAATGAAGGATATGTCGCTATTCACAGTTCTACTCTTTTAATGAATCCTTTGCCTTCGATGAATATGGTTGGTATGCTTATTCAGGAAGAAAAACTGAGGGAATCACCCATTCTGTCCAAACTTAGTCTAATGCTGCGGCTTTTCTTACTCAAAACACTATCACCCATTCATCTAATATGAGTAACAGAGATAATCTCTTTAAGAAGAAAATGATGCAATGTGATTTCTGTCATTTGAAGAACCACAAAATTGATTTTTGCTAGAAGCTTCATAGCTATCTTGATAATCAACAGAGGAACAGGAATAAGAAAACCAATAAATCGCCCACAGCTCATAATACTGTCTACACATTAGAGGAGCAATCTTCAATTTCACCTCAACCTTCACAACCTTTTGCAACTGTCAGTAACTCAATCTTCTCTCTTACACAGTATCAAGAAATTTTGCAACTCTTGGGGAAAGATAAATCTCCTATCATTGCGAATGTTGTGCAAGGTATTGATATCTCAACCAATGTTGCAGGTACTTTTGTTTCTCTTAGGGCCTCTGTCTTGAGTAGTGCTTGGATCTTAGATACCGGGGCTAATGAACATATATATGACATGTGATTTCTATTGCTTGAATAATGTTAAACCATATTATTTCTTCCATACATCATAATGTTCGATTGCCAAATGGTTTATCTGTTTTGGTCACTCATACTGGTGATGTTTGTCTATCTCCAAATCTTATGTTACATAGAGTCATTTTTATACCACAATTTAAATACAATCTGTTATCCATCTCTAAGTTTTGTAAAGATAATAGTGTCCATGTCATTTTTCCCCAAAATTTTGTCTGTTTTAGGACTTATGGAATGGATCGACAATAGCGATTAGTAAAGCGCACCATGGGTTGTACTATCTGATTAAACAACAAAGTTTTAGTCTGTTTTCATCTTACAATAAAATCATTACTGCATATAATTCTATTTTTAGTGTAATATGACATCATAGACTAGGTCATGCTTCTATAGGTTGAAACCAATTTCTTCTTTACATGACCTATTTGTCAAAGATGTTATTTCATATTGTAAAACTTGCCCTTTGGCTAAGCCATGCAGACAAGTTTTTCCTACTAGCATTTCTTCTACTAATTACATTTTTTATTTAGTTCATATTGATATATGGGGTCCTTAAAACATTCCACTTATAATGGCTTTAAATATTTTTTAACTCTTATGGATGATCATTGTCATGCCACATGGACATATTTGATGACTGTTAAATCTGATACATTTCTTATTTTCAAAAATTTTGTCTTCATGATTAGCAATCAATTTGGTGTTACCATCAAACGAATCAGGGCAAACAATGGTATTGAATTTTTTAGCAATGATTTTACAACTTTTCTCAATTCACATGGAATCATTCATGAAAGTTCTTGCCCTTATATCCCTCAACAAAATGACATTGTAGAGAGAAAGCATAGACACATCCTTAATATAGCCATAACATTAAAATTTCAATCTCACATACCTGCCATTTTTTGGGGAGAATGTATCTTGGCCTCTACTTATATTCTCAACAGACTTCCTACCTCCAATCACCCTTTTAAATATTATATCACAAACCTCCACATATTTCACCTTCAAGTATTTGGCTATCTATGTTATGCAAGCCTTTTGCTAGATGAAGTATTTCTATTGTGAGAAGTTCTTGGCATACAGTGTGACTAATGAAACTTCATCTATGCACAAGCATTTATCAAGTTGTAAGAAATACCCCCACAATGCTGATAAAAGCCAGACAATTCTCTCATCTTTTAGAAGCACAAACAAAGAAGATAACAAGGAATGTAGTATGGTTACCACTTGGAGATTTAGTCAAGAGGTCTCTAGGCAACTGCTTGCTGAGATGATAACTATTGATGAAAAATCATTTACAAAGGTGGAGCGGCCAGGTTTTAGGAAATATGTAAGTTCATTGCAACCTTTATGGAAGCATATTTCCTGTTATACAGTGGCTAGGGATTGTTTGAAGATTTACAATTGTCAGAAGATTTCATTAAAAAAACAGCTGAGTTCTCTAAAGTCTAGGATTGCTCTAACAACTGATATATGGACTTCCATTTAGAACTATAGCTATTGATGTCTCACTATTCACTTTATTAATGAGAACTGGGAGTTACATATGAGGATTCTGAGTTTTGTGACCATTAGTAGTCACAAAGGTACGGAGATAGGGAAAATGGAAGAGAAATGCATTCTTGAATGGGGTATTGAAGATCATGTGTCTACTTTAACGATGGATAATGCTAGTGCTAATAATGTGGTAATCAATTACTTGAAGGATAGATTGGTGGATAGGAATGTCTTAATTATGAATGGTCAATATTTTCATATGAGATGCATTGCTCATATTATGAATTTGATTGTGAGGGATGGTCTTAGTGAGGTAAAGGATAATATTAGTCGTATCCATAGTTCAGTTAAATATGTGAAGAGTTCTCCTGGTAGAGCTTTAGCATTTGAAAGATGTGTGAAAGAGGAAAAAATAACTTATAAAGGTGGTGTGTGTCTAGCTGTGGCCACTAGATGGAACTCCATTTATCTCATGTTAGATATTGCAATAAAATTCAGGAAAGCTTTTTAGAGGTTGGAAGATGAGGACCCCAACTTTGCTATTGATTTGTCACATGAAACTCCTTCGGCTTATGATTAGGAAAAAGCAATTGTGTTTGCCAAATTCTTGGAAATGTTTTTCAAAGCTACTAAAAGGATGTCAAGGACAAAATATGTGACTTCTAACAATTATTTTAATGAGATAGTTTCCATTGTCTTTACTTTGAATGATTGGGAGAACGACCTTAATCCTTGTCTTCACAGCATGTTTAAGAAAACGAGAGAGAAGTTTGACAAGTATTATGAGAGTCTTGACAAAACCAATGTGATGGTGCTGATTGCGACGATATTAGATCCTTGGTATAAGATGATATATGTGAGCTGATGCTATAAAAAGATTTACGCTAATGACTTGGAAAAAGCTGAAATGATGACTACAATTTTGAGAGATGTATTAGAACGATTGTTTGGATTTTATGACCGACTTGCCTCAAGTGTAGAACAAAGTCAAGCTTCCAGTTCCTTTCCACCAATGGGAACTAATCAATCTTTAGATGGTGTTGTTGCTTCCTAATGCTTACTGTTAAGTATCACCTTGTCAAGGACACATTTTTGGAGGAGATGGATATAGGGGTACTTGATGTTAACAATTCAGAGTTAGAGCGGTACCTTGAGGAGAAACGTGAACCCTTGAAGTGTGAGTTGAGTATCTTGGATTGGTGGAAATCAAATAAAGGAAAGAATAAGGTTCTCTCGCATATGGCAAGAGATGTCTTTGCAATTCTAGTGTTTACAGTTGCTTTCGAGTCAACTTTCAGTATATTGGGTCATGTATTTGATCAATTTCAGAGTTCTTTATCTCCGGGTGTTGTCTATACAAGCGTTAATTTGTACACAAGATTTGTTAAGATGTGCACCCACACCTACTCCTTTTGAAGATTACTTGGTGGATGCAGAGACTTATGATTTAGGTAACTTATTAATATCAATGTCTTATATTTTCATTTAGTTAATATAGTTTTATTCAATTTTTTAACATACTAAATTACTAATTGACTTCCTTTTTTCTTTTCTTTTCTTTTTTGTTGTCGCTATTACCACTGCAAATTTTGGGGATGAAACTTGATATGTTATCATGTTGTTGTACTTGTGTTATTTAAAATGTTACATAATTTTAATTTTGGGAGGATGAAAATTGATATGTTATTAACTTATTATGTGATGTTATTGTGTTATTTAATGTGTTATGTAATTTTAATTTTGGGAGGGTGAAACTTGATAGTTGATATGTTATTATGTTGTTGTACTTGTGTTATTTAAAGTTTCAAAGTGTTATGTAATTTTAATTTTGGGAGGTTGAAATGGATATTGGAATAGTTGTAATTTTTGTAAAGTTTGTAGGGTGTATTTGTCATTTCAAAAAACTTTCGGGGTATCATTAATTTATAAGGGTTTATTTATTATTTTTTTTAAATATGGGGGTAATTAATATTTTTTCTGGTACTTGGAACTGGAACCAAAACCTGTAACAGGTTTCATTTCCAAGTTTTTAGAAATCGAAATCATCGGTTTTGATTCCGGTTCCAAATCAAAGGAATCGACGGGTTCTTATTCCTCCAAAAAAAGGGTAGGTACCTAGAACCGCCCACCCCTGGATAAAGAGCCAATCTCATTAATTTTTTTTAATTTGTTTTTATTAAATTTAATATTAATACATAAAAAATTTAAAGAATGCGCCAATTGAGTTGACCAAGATTTAAAATTTCCAGCACGATCCCTTGACTGAGGGAACATACCGTGGGTTAAGCTGTGTTGGGAGAGCATACCGAGGCTCAACCTCACAGCCCTTGATTGTCCCTATTTAAAGACAATCTATTGAATTCGCTTGATAAATATAAACCAGTTTGCATGCACCCACAATTTAGTACCTTATTTTCAATTCTTCGGTTTCATAATAATACATAGGAAGTCTTGAAACACAACAAACGAGTGAATTTGAGAATAATAATACATCGGATGACACATAAAAGTAGTGCACATTCATTGCGTATAACCAGGACATGCCCACGTAGTTTTGTTAGTTACGATGATGGAGAGCCTCCTTAATCAATCTATTAAAATTATTATAAGATTGCCCTCCAATATCTGTTGTTGCTTCTGCTTTCTGTTTCCATTCTTGAGCCTTTTGCCTCATTTGCTTTCCTTTATCTCCTTGCATCATTTCTTTAACAAGAGCCTCAATGTCATCACGCTTTACATCTTCATTGACTTCCATGCCAATGCCCCAAGTTGTGCAAGCATAGCGACAATTCGTTTGTTGGTCAGCGAAGAAAGGCCAACAAATCACAGGCACGCCGACACATACGCTTTCTAGTGTAGAATTCCACCCACAATGTGTTAGAAAAACACCAACTGATGGGTGTGTGAGCACTTGTTCTTGAGAACACCAACTTGCTATAAGTCCTCTATCTTTGATCTCTTCAAAATATTCTTCAGGTAAAACAGCAGAATCACCCATCACCACATCCGGCCTAACAATCCATAAAAATGGGTGCTTACTATTTGCCAGACCCCATGCGAATTCTTTCAAGTGTTGGTCAGTCATCACAGTCACGCTACCATAATTAACGTATACAACTGAATTTGGTTCCCTTTTGTCAAGCCATTTAAGACATTCCGAGTCTTCCTTCCACAAGCTTGATGTAAATGACTTGAAACTGCTATCAGGGACGTGCCTACAGAGCAGGGGAAGTGGACCTATTGTGTAAATGTTGGGGAATTTGGAGGTAATAGCCTCTAATACTTCTTGTTCAAACTCATCAAAAGTGTTGAATATAATTGCAGAAGATTTTAAACAGTTTTGTGCTTCTGATCCCATGAAATCGAACATAGTCTCGTTGAGATCAGTGTTTCTGGCAAAACTTGGCAAGTCCTTGAACCGAACGTTGCTCATTCCAGGTACCCAATCAATCTGTGTTTCTAGAGTGCCATCACTAAGGAATTTTTCATCTGAATTACAATAATTTTGAAATGATGGGTCAGATATTTTGTAGGCCATAAAATTGTTAAGTAGTAAAATGAGGTGACATAAAGTTATATGACCGGGAAACCAATTAATCCCCTCAGAATCAAAGAAACTTGCGTTTTAGATATCAGCATAACAGAGCCTATCAGACATTAATTATGCATCAGATTTTGAAAGTTATAATGACATAAAATAATTTTAACATATGGTAGAAGTAACAACTATATGATTATATGACTAAATTGAAATGAAATCTAATTCGCAATGACCCTCTTTTTTAAATCTTATTGTCTCCTTTCTTTTGCAAAGAAAAGTGATATTTGGTGTTAGCAAACCAAATCCTAGTTCTTCCCTTACTGATCCAAACAAAAGTATTAATATTTATGCATGATCAAGTTATAAGAAAAATTGTAGATATCTTAAATGAAACACACCTTTGAATGGAACTATGCCTCTTTTGATAAGTTCAGTAAACTGCAAATATCCCATGAAGCCACAGGCTGAGGCTGTCCAAAACTGAATCTCCGGTATACCAAATAGTTCCCCGGCCTTAATAGCAAAGCTCATGACTCCATCCGAAATTATGCCAGTAACTGGGGGAACTTCTGCTGATGAATTTAACTTAGAAATCAGCTCTAAAAATGGAGCCAAGCAATTCTTTCGTGTAGAATCACACAAACCCGGAACATATTGAGTTGCATCACGATCAGAAGGTGGCAGTCCGTCTGGTATGGTTTCAAACCGGAAATCGGGTAAGCCTTTAACGGAGTCCGGACCCTTGGAGCGGATTAAACGTCTGTGATTGAATTCAGTGTTGACAAAGGTTATATGAAAACCTCTTGAGTGAAAAAGTTTGGCTAGTTGCATCATGGGAGTAACATGGCCTTGAGATGGATATGGAACACAGACTAGATGGGTTTTTGTTTCTTGGTTTGGTTCCATCTTTATCAAATCACGCAATTCTCGTATGGATTCAATATCGAGAATTATGGAGACTTAAGTAGCTGATTTGGATTAATTCATTTGTTTGTTGTTGAACATCAATCTCAATAATTTTTATATTTAGTAGTTTAGACATCAGTTTATACACAACTAACTACAGTATGTTTGAGTATTTCTAGGTCGCTACCCCATCATATGGGAAATCGGTGTAGTCGGGTTATGTAATTTGTTCCCTTTTAACAAAATTATATGTCTTATTACATTTTATATATCTATATTTATAATTTCCATTATAGATAATTTGTAATTGTAACATGCTTATAGAACAAATGGAACTGTAAAACACATGCTTAGTTCAGAACTCTTTTTTATCCTATATGATAGACTTCAATTTGAGAATTTTGTTTTTCATAATATAATCTTTTTCTTATTTCGGAACGAGAAAATAGATATCTTCTTGTGTAAATTTTGATCATTATTATCAAATAATTTATTTTACTTGTTGGAATTATTTATACTATGGTTATATGATAGTTGAATACATATATAAATAGTACTATTTAGGTGTTGTTAATAATTTGATGAAAAGGAAATTAAACAAAATATCCTAGTTTATAAGATTGTTGATCATAATAGCAAATTGTTTTTTTTCTAATATCCTAGAGATTCTTCTAATTCTCTTTCCTCATCACTACCCACCTCTAAGTTTGTCCATATATGAAAATTTAGAGGAATAGAGACAGGTGTGTTGACTAGATTAAATGAAATTATATATATATCATTTATCTTTGTATTATCTCAATCGGTAATGCTTTAAAGTTATACAAGATTTCCACATTTGGAAACAAAGATAAGCATGATCTGCCTTTAGTGGCCGTGTGTGATGGATTTATTGGTTTGCTAATCATAGCGCCGCCGTCAATCATGTCATAGAGTGTTCTGAAAGAGTAATGTTACAGCTACCGAAGATTATACATCGAATTCATGTATCGAATAACGTAACAAAATCTTGACCGTTGATTAATTTTAACTTAATATTAATCAACGGTCAAGATTTTATCATGTTATTCGGTGCATAAATTCAGTATATAACCTTCGATAGCTGTATCTTTTTCGGTTCTAAAAATATATGGATCTCTTTTTTTATCGCTCGGTGAAGACAAACAGTGAATAGTTTGAATTTAGCAAGCAAACCAATTTGGTTAAAATAAATACGTGGTTGATGTAGAACCAAGTGAACCATGTCATGTTTAGCTAAGCTCATTCAATTTGTCAGCGTAGTGGAGCTGCCATGCCGTTTGGGACACTGCCTGCCAAAGTACCTGGAATTGGGTGTCCATATATTAAATATTTTAACATTTATGTCCTCATCATAACACTAATGAATTATCGTGGTACTAGAGTCTTGGTTGGTTACGACATTGTGGGCAAGGAAATTTTCAGTGCCTGTAGTTTTTCCAACTATCAGGTAAGGACAGCTTTTTCCAAAGATAAAAAAATTCTTCCTTGAAGTTGACGAATGTTTGAAGATTTTGGGTCATCTCAACAAAATCTTCAGTGTACAGACATAAACACCCTCCGGGCTTCCTTCCATCATAATTAGAATTAGAATTAATAACAAATATAATAGTAATATTAACATCAAGAGCAATATATATAACAATACAAAGTAGAAATAGGTACAATACTAATATCATTTAGGGATATAAAAAGGCATTGGAAACACAATTTCTAAACAGCGATTTCTTTTGTGGGTGGGATAGAGTTCCTCAATATTATTAATTTTTTTTTTTTGGGTGAAATTCCAATCTACCTCTCGAGCAAACCAGAGATTCTACACCCTCTCACTTATCATTATTATTTTCCATTTGCCTTGACTTTTACGAGGTCTTTGTATTTATTGGATACTTAAAACAAGTACACGTCAAAGTTTAGTGAAATTTTAAATTAACACAAAATCTTTAAGTTAAATTTAAAAAATAACTCAAATCCAATTTACGGCAATAAACAGGTAGCCTTTTTTGAATAATAAGAGAAATAAACAAAACAATTGAAAAGTACAATATTACTTCATATTACCATATTTGTGTGATTAAGTTTAGAAACTATACTATAGTAAAACCCTTTATAATTATAACAGTGGAATCAAACTAATTTATTATTATAAAGAGATTATAACTTAATAGAGGTACAATTAGAAAAATTATTGTTTTAATTTCTTACTTTATAATTCATATTTTAGTAGTATGTATTAGGATTTTAATTCATTATTTTAGTAGTATTATGATTTTTTATTTACTTTTAATATTACTTTATTTCTTATTTTATAATTTTTATTTTGGTAGTATTAGGATTTCAATTCATGTTTTAGTGGTATTAGGATTTTAATTCATTATTTTAGTAGTATTATGATTTTTTATTTACTTTTCCTAGTAGAATTATGATTATTAGCCTACTAAAGACACGTTTGTTATGTTTCAACTTATTCAATCAGATTTTCAATAAAATGTTCAACCAATTCAAGTGATACATTTCCTTCTTCCTCTTGCAAATCAACCATGCCGCCCAAAGTTAATACACAAACTCAATTGACTAAAAATATTCGTGTTGAGTTGTGCAAAATTAAAGATTCAAACCCCAACTTGAAACAAAAAGATCTTGTGAAGTGGTTAGAAGATACTCATGGTCTTAAGGTATCACAAGCAATAATATCTAAGATATCTGATGTCGATGAATTGCAAGTTATAAATGAAGTAGATGAGGATAATAATAGAGTCATTGCAAAATTAAGTAATTAAATTCGACAACTTCAGTACACAATTAGACAAGAAGAGAAAAGAAATAATCCTGAGGACGATAGTACGGAAATACAAAATGTTTCATGCCAAGAAGCCCTAAACATGCTTGAAAAGCTAAAAATATTTTAGCTTCAACAAGAAGGTGTTCATACTAACGAGTTATTACATACCCCACAAGTTAAAAGATGTGGTAACAGCTCTAAAACATAAATCATTATCCTAAACAACTTTAGATAAATATTTTACTTCATCTTAAATCTTTAATATAACATAACACATATTTTTGTTGTAATATACAAATAATTATTACTATGTATGTGGAGGCAATTTTCTTAAGATAAGAATTAGAAAAATTATAAATTATTATAATGTAAAATTTATTTTTATTTATAATTATCTTAAAGAATATTTTATGACTACATAAAAGTTATTCTTATATAGAGTATCACTATACAGATGTTTAACTGTACATATTTAACGATTTCAATTGTATTAGAGTTTGTTATAATATTAAATACTAAATATTATTTTGAGTTTGAGTAATATTACTGTTAATGCCAAATTCGCACCAAACTGGGGTTGATCGTCTTGCCCTTGAGAACACAATGGCTTCACAATTCTACCCTCGATCCATTGACTTACTGTCTTTGATTTCTATCCTGATAAGAAAACTTGATTTGTACCTCGTAAGAAAACAAAAAAGGCTTTTTGCGGGACTGTGAGGGTTAGAGGCTAATAATGGCGACAGTCAGCTTCAATCCGGAATGCTCTAAGTGCAAATTTTTTCGTATGAATATTTGATTATATCATTAAGAAATAGAATAGGGTTTAAGAGAGTTGCTTTCCTTGTCTCTATAGGATTTTAGGTTGTAGAAGGATTCTTGGAGTTTTAGGAGGAATCATGTCTTGTCACATTCACTTCCTATTCACCTTGATTCCCTATTTAATTGTAATTCTATATCTTTTATTGAAGGATATCCATTTGATATTTCACTTGATGGGCAAGTAATATCATATAGAGAATTTATCATTATGCCCTTAGAGAAATTCGGGTACCGCAATTACATATGTTTTTTAGTTTATATCTTGACTCAATAATAATTGATGCATTGTGCCGGTTGTCGTGCTAAAATTTTCTTATCCGAACTTAACTCGTTAACTTAATTTGTGGGGTCAAGTAAAATTTACATATCTTAAAATGGTTCACAACCCAGTAGAAAAATTGAATGTCACATTGGCTCAACAAGTTCAATAGAAAAGATAATGCTTAAAATCAATAGAAAACTTTAAAGATAATGCTTAGTAGAAAAGTGTTAACTGGTACATACACACTACATGAGCCCTTTGGACCTATCGCTAAAATGTGTATTTAAGGAATAAGACTTTCACAAAACAAAAAATTCGGTTGCTTCAAAGGAACCAATACATCCCAGATTTTTGTTAATACTCAAATTCCTATAAATTAGTGTTGTTAAACAAGGCAAATGCACATAGAATTTGGCCACAACAAGGCAATCGCACAACCAAGAAAGCGAACATAAAGAAGGAAGAAGTTTTTTATAGTGTAAATGTGTAACCTGTTAAAGACCTTCTCTTATGAAGATCCCCTGCAAATTCAAAACCAACATATTCTCTAAGCTCCTCACTATCCGCTCTAGCAATTTCATAGAGTACGTCAAAACAGTTTCTTCTAAAATAAATGAACCCATTTTACAGCTTGCCAGTAATATTTTCTAGACTTAGACATGAACCACTTCATCAAGCTTGCAGCAAAAACTGAATTCCGTAGAGTACAAAAAACTACCTATAACACTTGCATAAAGAATTTGTCTTCAACGACTCATCTAATTATAACTTAAAGTAAGCTACCAATGGTGACAAGACTAGTATACAACTTGCCACACCAAACTTCTCTAAGACGTTGTTGATATACTTCTCATGAGAAATAAACAATTTCCTGTTTTTCGGACACCTTTTAATTTCTTGTTTTTGGACACCTTTCAATTTCCATCCCTAAGATCTTCTTCGTAGCTTTCAAATTCTTCATCTCACGTCCCTTAATTGTTCTTCCAATTTTTAGACCTCTCCACTTCCAGTGGATACAATAACCATGTCTTTCACATATAGAAGCAAAAAGACTCCCACATGACTATCTATCACCTTTAAATAAACACAAACTAATGTTTCATACTTCTTCTATACTTATTCCTGGTCGTAAACTCATCATCAAACCTGAGATACAACTTTCGAGGTGACTACTTCCAGGCATTACACTACCTCACCTACATTACCTCTACTTTCACCATATCGATCTTCTACACAAATTGAGATTTCTTCTTCTTGGGAGATCCTTAACTTCTAGATGATCTCTGTCTTCTAGGAAAACACTCGAATTTCTTGAGAATCCACTCATTTGGTCTAGTGGTTTAGCTACAAGTACGCAGGACTCATTCAACAATGAGTCCACCATGGAACCCAACCACTAAGATTCCTTTCTACAGCTCACCGCCTCTTTAAAGCTTTCAGGTCCATCTTCATCCATCTCTTTAGCAAAAGACAATGCACATGAAATGAGATCTGCATGACCATACCTCAGAGTCGTTTCAAAAGTCTTCATTGTTCTATCTTTGAGCACTTGGTATGTTTCCATGTGAATCTGCCCAAACTCTACTTGATCCTCAACATCTGCTCTTTTTGTGGTTTATGGAATATCAAGCTACCTTGAATTCAAGCTATCTCGGAGCTCCACCTCAAATTTAGCTTATTCATCAGCTTTTCCAACCAACACATGATGAACAATTTTAGTTCCCGTAAGGTGCACAATCGATATCTAGTTGCAAGGTCATCCCGAAGAGATTTGTAAGCATTCAATTAATCCTAATATACCATGCCTTAATGAAACTAATAAATTCAGTAAAATTGAAGAACTAATACTAAATAAAAATAAACTATCAAAAACCAATATTCAATTGAATTAAAACCAATGAACCAAAACAATGATATCCAATTTACCATAATAATCCAATTTATATTCAATAATCAATCCATTGTTATCTCAATCCAATTTCTACGGTTTCTACTTCCACTATTAAGGTATTATCATTTGACGGCGGATTACACCAAATATCTTTAACACTAGTCTAGTCTAATAATTAAAAACCCATTAGAACAAAAAGCAGTTGTAACAAAGACCAATTCGCATTCAACAGGTGTGTGCACAAATACATCATTCTTCATTCAAAGAGCTATTCAAGTTGGCATATAGCGTCTACCTAACCTTGTCTCACACATCAATTAATTACATTAAAGGTGATCAAAATATATCAATTAACAATCAATCTTTTTTATTCCGCATTAATTCTTTAATCTCCTATTCACCCCCCACTAGGAGCATTTGTCATATATGTGTTTACAATAAGGGTAGGGATGACATGAGGTGGGAGGAGGTGGGGCATGCGAGGCTTTTTTTTTTTTTTAATTGTTAGCTTGTACTATAAAATTGAAACAAAATCGCAGCAAGTGATATAAGAAAATACTGTTATATATTTTTTTCTTTTGGATGGATAAAAGTTCCTATGTATATATTTTTTTTTTAGTGTTATCAGTAAAGAAAAAAATATTTTTTAAAAGGTTAATAACAATAATCCCCCTTAGATATAATTAAACAACAAAGTCCCGTTTTAGTTATAAATAATAAATCCCCCAACTGTTAAGTTGTGTTAAAAAAAACACGACAGATGGGCATTGTTAAATATTCATTAACCGGTCATATTATAATTTCTAACGACACACTAATGGCTCAATAACGATAGGGAATTTAGTTACTTTGTATGGATGACTTGTATAAGTTTTTGTAAGTTGTATTTTACTCATCCTAATATGTTTGGACACTTGATCCATTGTGGAAAGTTATGAACTTAAGAGTTCATTACGAACCTAGTGATAATTAGTTTAGCATTTGAGTTAGAGTGGATACTCTCTCCCTTCAATCTATTTGTATTAGTTTTGAAAGAATTAGTTTGTTCTTTCATATTCTAAAGCTATTTCATTTCGGTTTGTTTGATATTAATAATTATAATATCAAAGTTTAAACATGAATTTACCAATTATATGAGTATATACTTTTAAAATTATGTCATATATTATTTTATTGTAATGATTTTTTTATTTTAATTAAAAAATTTACAAAATATTCTATATATATATTAGCACATCTTAGTAATTAATGTTACATTTTATTCTTTGAATTTTAGGCGATGCATTTAAATGAGTTGTACAAGAATCAATGCCATTAACCAAATACCGCAGGCACCAATTTCTTTAAAGGCACACAAGCTCTTATCGCTGGTTCTAAGGAAATGCGGAATCCTAACTGGCAGCACAACATTTGAAGCAATAACTCTAAGTCCTTCAATCTGCAGAGGACAAGGATAGCTTTTGAAGAATGTCAACTGAAAGTACCAATATGTACCGCTGATAATTTTGGAAACCTTACCTTACATTACTCAAATCAGGTGTATTGCTATAGCATCTTTGAAATCCTGTATTTAATTAAAAATAGGATCGTTATCTCTCGAGGCGATCTTGGTGTTATTGTTTGAACACGTATTTATGATCATCTCGTGGGAGGGTAAGGCCTCACCTGGTCTGCCGTTGACGATGTGTAGGTAATCACACATGACATTCCAGCACTTTGTTGCTGCCTGCAGAAATGAACTTGCTTCACTTTAGAGGTTAATATGGTTAATGAACTTGTTTTTAATGTGCAACTGGCCAATAAAATGGAGGATAAAATTGAAGCTAAGACTTGAAATTTGTGATTGAATGGCCAATTAATTACATATAAGTACTCATTGGTTTCTAAATCATGATCTGCTCAAAGTGATATAGAAACTGAAAAGAGGATTCTCCAAGGTTTTAAATGGCCGCAAATAAATAATGTAATCCAACAATAGATTACTTACTTGCAACCCTATGACACTGTCCTCAACCACCAAACATCTTTCTCTGACACGCCTATCTCTGCAAGGAATATAAATTTAAGATCAATTTCCAATAAACACCAATGTATGCAGAACTCTATGGTTTCATCGAACAAGTTGTAGTTCATACTATGTTACATTAACTACCTTAGCTGCTGTCCATAAATGACGATCAGGCTTCTTTTGTTTTACATCATCACCTGCAAGTACAGAAGCAAAACAAGGCTAATATATGGGTCAAAATCATTAAGAATAAAATCAAACAAAAAAAATTGGATCAAACAGAACACACACCTTAAAGGGAGCTAATCTGGAAAGAAATATGAGGATGTAGCATATTTGACCTCAGTTTGTGGGTACAAGTTTGTAGAAGGTTAATTTAAAAGAAATTGAAACAAATCATTTGGCATCAATGTGCTATATTCCGTATGTATCACGACATGAGCTTCACAGTCTCAAGCGCACCAAATAATATTATATGCCGCCAGGTTCAGCTAGGGTAAACTACTTAGAAAAGCATTCATACTGTCAGCAAGAGTATGCACATCTTTTAGCAAACTACATAGCTATTCATTTCAATTTAATGACACCCCGAGAGCAATCAAGACTTGAAACCGCTCCTTAACAAGGACATATAACAATGAACAAACATTTGTGGATGAAAACACCTCCATTTCATATAGCTAGCGAAAGAATTTACCATTCCTATAAGGTTTCAAGACAAAGATAACTGACCTTTTAGTTGCTGCAGAACACACGCCAGTTTTTTTCCCTGTGATGCAGCAGGAAAAAAGAATACTACAAGAAGAATATATTAAATATGAAACTGTGATTAAAAAACAGAATAAAAGCTATTAAATCACAAATTATCATCACAAAATAGAAAAATGTAATACAATCTTAAAGAAAGAAACAGAAACCACATAGTCCAACTAACAGATGATAGACATGAAGACTGACTAATTTCAATTACCATGATACAACAATTGAATAATAACAATAAAGTATTATCTTACATTGGCCTTGCTTCATCCATCAATCTAAGAACTCCAGGTCTAGGCTCCACCTGGTCAAATGCCATCACACCAGCAAATCTCATCAATACACAACAAAATCCACAATGAAAAAGAAAATCTGTATAAAGTAATTTAAAATTCTCCTTACAGTTCCAGATTTGATAATTTGTTTGTATCTTTCAGTTTTCCAGTCCTCAAAACACAAACAGTTGAGTATCAAACACTCTTTAGTAACTAAAATTCAATATCTATAATCAATTGCCAACAATAAGCATCACCATAAATTAACTACTAACCCAAACAGTAACTGAAAACCGACCCTTATTTGTTGTACTGAAGTGTATCAATCAATTTGCTTCGGTCGTCATCGTTTTCTGGGGGTTCTCGATATGGTTGAAGATGGCCATCCATTCTCTTAAAGTACCTTAAAATACCCAAAACCAATCACAGAAAGTTAAGATAGAAAAAATGAATACAGTTTGTGAGAAAAGACCATCTCATTTTTGGTTTGCCACCACCAATTTGATTCTGTAGCACATCATAAACTCAGAGCCCCAGTGGAGGGTTGCTGAAAGAAGAGTCGCAACGGACGTTGAAGTAAAGGCATCGTTGTAAGCTGGCGATGAAGTGTTCGGATTCAGAATGACTCATCGCAGTCAAAATGAGAGCTTGAAGAGACTGTGAAGAAGCTGAGACTGAAAATTTTTTTGTAGATAAAGATAGATTTCTGTAGGGTTTGAAAGAGAGATTTGGTGTAAAAGAGAGGATTAAGAGTAAGAGAAGAAGTTTTGGAGAAGAAGAAGAATGCGAGAGAGTAGTTTGAGAGAGGACATCAGAGAGGCCATGAGTTTTTTTGCGTAGAAATTTTATGTGGATTGTGTAGTGTTGTTTTTCAGTATGTCAGATGTGGCGGGTTAAACTTGTGTGGTGGTAGGCGACTTGAGGTAGTTAAAACGGATTTGAAGCCGTGAGAAGCAAAGCAGCTTCAACTCGGCTATGTTGCGTTGTCATTGTTGGCTTAGACCACCTGTTCAGATACACAAACTTTATGTTAAATTGAGAATGATCAAATCCAATAGCTAAACAGGTGAAACTACTTATCAAATTGTAGTTATATCCATTGAATATTCTCAAAAGTATGGTTTTAACCATGGGTTAACTTCTTTCACCCCTGAAGATAGTTAAGACTTACCATGGTTAGTTTCATTTTCTCTTGAGCAAGTAAGATACTTCCCCAATTATCAAAACCAACCACTAAATATATACACCCTTCAAGATTTAAAAAAAAAAAAAAAAAAAAAAAAAAAAAAAAATCCCTTATAGATATCAAAAACACCCTACACATTATAAGTACCCCATGATCAAGAGTATGGCTGTGGCAACTTAACATCTCTCACGAAATAAATAAAAACCCTTCACGAGAGTGAATGAAATAAACCCTTTAAACCTCTAATTTAGTAGAGCAACTTACCATGATCATATGATGTAAAAGATTTATTTCAGCTCATCCCCTCTATTGTTTACACTTTTTCAAAAATTCAGTAATAGTCTCGATGATTGATGTCCAAAGATCCAACTTCGAAAGAAAAGGCACTTCATATCCAGCATATAATATACCATCAGTCTGTGCTTCTCCAAAATTATGCAATTATTTTGGATAAAGACTAAATTCTACATTTAAAACATATTCTAAAATGCAGACTTGAGATAAATTTCAAGTTCATCACAGTACAGCAGATATAGGTCTTAATCCTAACTCTGGAGTGCCTAGATACCAAGAGCAATAACAATACATCGACATGAAGTATTTGATCTTTCAATCAAGAGTATTAACCCATGTCGTGCATATAATAAGGCTCAACCAATACCGTAAACCATTGTGGAAAGTCTTACAATGAAACCTTCTTTGTTCAATGCTGGAAAATATTTAAGACAGAAAAAGATACCTACTCCACAAGAACCATTTTAAGATTTATGCCAATATGTGTCCCTCACATTCAACAACCATGCTTTTTCCTCTTTTTCTTCATTTGCAAGCAATTCTGTCAAGCTGTCACAGTTAAAATTTCTCATTCCAGGCTCAGCCAGTCAATCCAACGCTTAACTCTTTCCTTACGCCTGTGCATGAAGAAAATCTACAGAAAATTGAGCTTTGAAAGGTACAGCCCTGAATAACATCATACTCTTCCATATCCACTTCATATCTTGTTTTAAGTTAATGAAAACAACTATATCAGCCGTTCTGAAGTGGTTACAGCACAGGCATCTTGAGCGACGATTTAAAAGCAGCAATCGATAATTAAGCGAGTATTAATAAAATGTATCTAACACCTAGCAATCTTACAACCTGGCTACAAAGTTGTGCCTCCACCATCTGACATAAGAGACGCAGCGGCAGCAGCAGCAGTAGCAACAACCCCTGTTGAAACACCTGGTTTTGACAAATGTAGAAGCCTGCAAAGCAAAAGCAAGAAGATTACATATTAGTTCTTAAATAGAATCAATAGTGAACCAAGTTTCATGAAATGCAACTTTGACCTTCATTTGATTCTGAACATACTTAATCGTACCAATATAATCATAACTATGTATTCAAAATATCTTAATACATGCAGCAGTATTATACATTTATTTATACAGCCTTACAAGCATGACTAACCAGTCAAGCCTTTCTGATATCCACAACAGTTGGATCACAAGGTAACTTGATGTGAAGCACAGGATATACCACAGTGACAAGTTTCAAGCACAGAAATTTTAATTTTTGGCATATGACATACAATTGGATTACTCAAAACTAGTCACAACAGGATTTCTAAATATGTCTTGAGAATGAACAAAAGTTCTTACGGTGCAAGATATTCGCAAAATGATGACATTGCAGCAGCCACTTCAGTATAATTTTCAGAGGTTGCAGGTGCTGTCACTTCAACTACTTGTATTCCAGGAGTTACTGGCACAGCCTCATCGGTTGCATGTAATTTTAGCATCTTATTAATAGATGACACAGTAACTGTAATCTGAGCACCCCTTAAAAAATGGAAGGCAAAGCCCACTCTCAGCAGCTCATGATCCAACTTGTAGCCAAGTGCATAGAATAGACGAAGCACATTCTTGCTTACTTTGCTCTCCACCATAGTTCTTACAAGAACAGAGATTTGCTCTGCACCAGCACCCCTCATTGCACCCCCAACATGTTTAACAGTCCTACAACACAAATAAAATTTCTCAACCACATAAAACACACGAAATTTTACACCTAAAAGGAAAAATTCCAATTTTTACCACATGTGTTCAGTCTGCTCAAGATCACATAAGAGTCTAATCTCTGAAGCAACATTCCCTGGAAAATGAAGTTCATGAGCTTACATGTCAGCAAAAAGTAAAACGACCAGATTATATATAATCAGCACTAGGCTTTCTAAGTGAAAATATAGATATGGGAGTTGAAAGTGTCTCTAAATATGAAGTACCATTAGGGTACGTATAATGAGAAGTATTAAACATGTAATCCAACATATATCCATGTAATATTTGGATGAATGAGGTTTATGATGATCATTTTATTTATCCAGTAAGCAAAGCATGATTGATGATAATATATCTGATGCATTCTAGGTTATAGTCATAAATTTAGCTTCCAAAAAACTCAACTGGTTAATTAAACTAACGAGAAAATCAGGGTAACTGGTTAATGTGAACTTAATGTGAGAGTCAAATGCGAAATAAGAATGAATCAATGAATAAGATGGGGTGACAATCTTATTTTTCTTCTTCAACAGCAATATAATTGTAAAATATATAAAAAGAGAATTGGCTAAAAAAAGACTGACAGTTATTTGAGCCGGCAATTGTGTATAGCACCAAAATAAGATTCTAGATGAGTCAATATTAAAACCATACAAGTTTCATCTTCATCCTAATTTACCCATGCTCTAAAATTTTGTGCATCATCCTTCTATGAAGCTTAAATTACAGAAGATCTAAATACTTACCAAGGTTGGGAGAATTTTTTAAGCAAATTTCATGGATCCTCAAGCGTTCTCTATGAACACCACATAGTCCCTGAAGAAGAATCTCAAGGGCCTCCACATGCTGCAAGATAAGAACTATATATTAAAGAAATTCCTACCAGCACCATCTTCACATAAATAAAAAGAAAAGAAAAAATTTATGTTTTTTTTTTTTTTTCCCTTTTGTCTTTAGAAAGGAAGAAAATAAGTTTATCAGGTGAGAAACAGAAGAAAAAAACGAAACTGATTATCATAAATGATATTTTTGAGCATGTAAGGACTAATTGAGCTAATGTTTTTACATCATTTCTATCCTAATGACAAAATCAATTGAGACCAATAAGTACCAAGTGTGACCGGGCAATGGAAACATAAGATACTAAACGAAGTAGTTAACTAAGACAAACAGCAAGACAGCATAGCAATACTGAGCCAAACTTCAAAAATCAAAAGATTAAGTACTTTGGATTTGAAAACATTAATGAACTACAATGTGGGTTGCTAAAACATCTCAAGGTTTGTTAAAGCTTGACAAATGAATCAAAAACTTACTTTTGTACATACATCTAATGAACATGTGCTTGGAAGCACTCAAGTCCATGACATACACACATTTAGACACAATGACCAAGCATTATAAAGCAGCAGCAGAAACTACACTATTGAGTACCTCTCACCAGAGAGTCCGGCAAGTACAACTTAGTCCATAATAATTGCACAGTATTATTTGGTAAAATTCTGACACAACTAAATTAAACACCAAGATTGAAAAATAAGCAAACTCTATCCCAATGAAACAGTCAACATACAAGGAAAAGAAACATGGAAATGGCAGCACCAATTTTTAAAAGCTCCCACTCTTTTTATCACTTAATTTCTAAAGTCCACAAAATCTTAAAGTAAAGCATAATACCCAACAGCATATATGACATAAATTAGACTTGGTTTTGTGTCCCAATATAACAATAAAAGTTTCATATCACTGTAATCATTTTTGAGAAATATCTCAGTTTTGAAAATCAGTAGTCAAATTTCATTCAAAAATCAACACCGACACCATTTTCTCCCACGCTACTAATTCTCCTTAGTCCACTTCAGATAGGGTACCACAATCAAACTCACACAAACAAAACTAAAAGCAAGATGGGCCGTCCTCAATAAATTTAACACTCAAAAATCTTACCATTGTGCAATTGTGTGTGCATATATATATATTAGAATCTGCATGATTTAAATAAAGCTAAAAAACATTCTCTGTGTTTATGTAACTTACCTGTGTCTCTATAATTCCTTGCACGATGCACTCCATCAAAATAAACTTTTAGTTCATCTCAAAAGTTTTTGATGCACATAGAGCCTGAATTGCCAAAGACAATAGACATTTTGAGCAACAGTATTTATCAAACAACTGAAATCAAACAAGAACAAAATAAAAATAAAACAAAGAAAATAAAAATAAAACAGTGGGGTTTCCCTAAGGCTCAACCTCATTTTTGGCTCAGCACAAACAAGCCCCACTATGTTAAGTTTCATAATAATTCATTGAACAAAGAGTCCACAAGAATGCATATTTTCATCTATAACATAGCAATATAAAATCAACTGTATTAAGTCCTAATTTGGTCCAGAATTTGTAAATGAAAAAAACAACTAAATTTAGATGGATCAAATCAGAGAACTAAAAGGCTTTAGAAAACACTATTCAAATAAATTCAAAACATAGATTCTAATAAAAACCCAATTAAGTTGAGTTAAAACCCTCGAAAATCAAATAAAACACAAAGATATAAATGAATAGAAATTACAGAAAGAACCGTTAGTCTAGAGGTGGAACCTGTGACGAACGACGCACAACTATCGGGAGTTTAGGGAGATGACGACGTCGTTTCTGCTGTGACTTGTTCTACCAAACGCCGATTCTGGCAGTGGCCAAGCAAGTTTAGCGAGGATGATCGCAGTAATGAGCAAACCTTTATTGGTTTTCTGTAATTTAATGCAACATTAAGGGTAACACAGTCTTATCCCCAGCGTGGGTCGGTGGGACTATTTAATTTTTTAAATTCGGAAACTTGAATTTGAACTAAGCCTGCAAACGAACCGAGCTCGGTTCGTAAACAGTTCGATATTTGTTTGATAACCATTTGATTGGACTTGATAACAAACTGTTTGTAAACAATTTGATGGTCGTTCGATAATATGTTTGATCCGAGTTCGAACATATGTTGTTCGTTCGATTATGTTCGCAAACATACTGCGTTTGACTAATCCATCCATTCACGAATAATCTGTTCGATTATTCGTTCGTTTATGTTCAAAAAACATGGTATATATTATTATATATATTTATATTTTTTTCTTTTTTATATTATGTTTGGTTTAGTTTAGATGAATTTTTTTAATAGTAATCAATAATAAAATACTATAATGTTTTTGTTTTTCTTATATATATACAATAGAACCTTTTTATAGTTATAATATTGGGATCAACTAAATTTATTACTATAAGGAGGTTATAACTTAATAGAGGTGTAGTTACAAAAATTGTTGTTTTGATTAAAAAAATTATTGTTTTGATTTCTTATTTTATAATTCATGTTTCAGGAGTACAAATAAATTGAATGAACAAATTCAACAACTTCACTATACTAATGAAATGAATATTAATATCCAAATAAGTAACAAGTCGTGTATGCTTTGACTGAAGAAGAAATTATCATTGGAATTAGACAAGAAGATGAAGAAGATAATCTTGAGGATGATAGTATGAAAATATCAAAAGTTTTGTGTCAAGAAACTCTAAACATACTTGAGAAGCTAGAAATATTTAGGCTTCAATAATAAGGTGTCCATGCTGACGACTTATTACATACCCACAAGATAAAATATATAATAACAACTATAAAACATAAATCACTGTCCCAAACAACTTTAGATATCTTAAACATTTAGTGTAACATAGCATATGTTTTTTTTTTTTTTTTTTTTGGTTGCAATATACATATAATTATTATTATGTAGAGGCAAGTTCACTGGCTTAAGTTAGAACCATAATTTTTTATGACTATATGGAGGTTATTCCTATTATAGAGTATTATTATAGAGAGATTCTACTGTAATATGTTTGGATTTTTTTTTAAAATGTCATCAATAATTAAATATATAAGTATATATCAATTTAATTAAAAAATAATAAATTATTATGATACATAACATGACAAATTTAATAACATAATAGTCAAGTGATATATAACATATCAAATCTAATAACATAATGGTTTCATATTTTTCCAAATGTAATCAACAATTAAACATTATGAGATAGCATTTCAATTAATAAATAATAAATATAGTATGGTAAATTGATGAATATAACATATTGTATGATGATCGGTCCCTTGCCCACCTCTACTATACATCACTTGGTCCCTTGCGGGCCCAGGCTTGGGCCCGTTTGGGACTGGTCCCAAATGGAACCAGTCACTCATGGGCCTAGGAGCGGTCCCAGGCCCATGAGAAAAACCAGGACCCGGACCAGGCCTTAGGCCTGGTCGGGACTGGTCCCATGGGCCCAGGACCGGTCCCATGGGTCTTAGATAATTTCATTTTCCCCCCTCAATTTTTTTTATATTTTAGGGGCAAAACGAAATTTTATAGGGGGTTTTTAGTATTTTTTAAGGGTAAAATTTATAAATTTTTTTGACCTGGAAGATTTTTTTATAAAATTTCATTTTAGCCCTCATAATTTATATTTATTTTAAAATTAACAGGGGGTTTTAGTAATTTGGCAGGGGACTACATTAAAAAAATACAAAAAAATTTGGGCCCAGGCCCGGGCCTTAGAGGAGGGCCCAGTGGAGGGCCCGGGCCCTCCTCCTTAGGCCTGGTCCCGTTTTGGGACTAGGCCTCCTAGGTCCGGTCCTCTTAAGGACCGAGTTTTAGAGCTGGGCTTTTGGGCCCGGTCCCAAATGCCCAGCTCTAATGTATAGCATGACAAATTTAATAACATAATAGTTTAATTAAATATAGTATGGTAAATTGATGAACATAACATATTGTATAATCCAGTGATATATAGCATGACAAATTTAATAATATAATAGCTTAATTAAATATAGTATAACAAATTTATGAATATAACATATTGTATAACAAATGATATATAACATGATGAATTTAATAACATAATAACTTAATTAATCATACATTTTATTGATCATATAGCACAATAAACCCTCATACCACTATAAATTTATGGGTGTTGATACAAAATATATATGTAGACATTTAAAATATTTAGGTATTTACAAATTAATCACACGTATGTATTAATTATATATTACAATAGACTTTCATACCACTATAAATTTATGGGTGTTGATACAAAATATATATGTAGACAGTAATGATAATATATATAAACACACACATAATACAAAATTATTATCATACATATATTAATCATAGATTAAATATGTTTAATATGTTATTAAATTATCAAAATTCTATCTATATATATATATATATATATATATAGTATAAATATATATATATATATATAATATATATATATATATATATATATATATATATATAAACACACATGTATTGATCATTATTATAATAGACTCTCATTCAACTATGAATTTATGGGTGTTGAACAAAATATATATATGTAGATATTTAAAATTTATGATAATTTAGTAATGATAATATATTGATAACCTATAATTTTGATAATAAAAACATATTAAACATATTTTATCTATGATTAATATATAATATATGATAATAATTTGTGTGTGTTATATATATATATATAGAACCAAACAAACTAACCTGGCCTAGCCCAAATTTTCAAACAAAAATCCAAACCCAATTCCACATTTTCCCTTACCCGGCCCAAAATCCAAATTCAATTCAGTCACAGACCTAATTTGGTTAATTGAACGAATTCGAACTGTCATAAGTTATTCGAACGAGTTATTCGAACAGATATTTACAAGTTATTCGAACGAGTTAATCGAATGATCACGGACTGCTCATTTGATTAATCTAACGAACTTGAATAATCATTCTGTGTTCGTTCGAGTTTGAACACGATTTTAAACACCCCTTTGTGCTTATCAAACGAGTTTCGAACAGGGGTGTTCGTTTGTGTTCGGTTCATTTGCATGCCTAATTTGAACGAATAACGGAATAAGTTGGAAAGTATGCGTTTATTTTTTTTATTTTTTATTTATTTTTTGTATATCCATTTCTTGTATTTTTAAAAATATTAAATATATTGAAACTGTGTAGAATAAAAAGACATTCAGTATTTTAGTCTAAAATTAATATTTAAAAACGTTAAAAATGAAAATGTGTTGGTTTGAAAACACAAATAAAAGAATAAAAATGTAAAATTTATTATCTACCCAACTGAAATAATATTTTCAAAATACCATTTATTTTATTCATCTTGAAAACTTTGTCTTACATATATACATTTTTTTTATTCTCATTTGTAGTTTTGCGTTAAAAATCTTTATTTAAAATGAAAGATTTTATTTTAAGAAAGAGAAAAGAAAATATAAAAAGATAAAGAGACTTTTTTAGTCAAAATTTTAAATTTTTATATAAAAAGTTAAGTCACCTTCTCTCTCCTTATCGCCCGTTTCTCATTTTTAATTGAGAGGGTAAAAGAGACAATTTTAAGAAAGACGGAGTATACCTAAGAGAAATCTTTGAGAGGGCAACATAGACAACTGAAAGGTCGGAGTATGCCCGAGAGATATCTTTAGATGAATTCAATTCTATTGTATGAGAATGCATCACATATTTATACAAAAGTTTATCTATACAATAAAGAAACAAAATAGTGTAATTATACTCAATCAGGGAATTGATTGATTGATTAAATAATTTTGGATGATTGCCAATCATAATCATGTAATTACACTCAATCAGAGAATGGATTGATTAAGTGATTTTGAGTGATTGACGTAACCTTAGTTATCAGCCACAATCATGACATTCATATTTCATCATTCCCCCTCAAGCTTGTGGTTTGTATAAGTCATAAACTCCAAGTTGGCGTAGTGGATGCGAATTTTGTTTACTATTAGATATGAGATAAGTAGTACCCGAAGAGGGAGCTTGAATGGTTGGACAGACGCAATCAACTATCCGAATGGGAGGTCAAGTGAGACGGGAGGATTGTCACTGAGGGACTATCTCCTAGGAAGGAAACTAGGGAAGATAGTGAAGAGTCTCCAGAAGGAGAGTTAATAGAAAGATTCCAGTTGTTTGTGGAGGTGTTTGTCTGCAAGACAAACCATACATAAGCTGGAGAAAAATCCCGAACAATCTCATCGCTTATACTTGGGTAAACCACGTGGACAAGCATAATGACCACTGGGCAATATTCCCAAGTGCCTATGTGTCTTGCAGGCTGAAGTAGAACTTAAGGGTTAAGGCTAGAGTGGGTTGATTGGCAGAAGCTTGATTATGGAAGAAGTTATCTAACCCGAATGCCTATGTGTGGGTTGATTGGCAGAACAGCTTGATAACCTAGGATAGTAGTAAGTACTGAAAATGATTCAATATGTACAAGGAAAATTCCCAAGAAACACTAGAGGTTCACAAACGATCCCACTTAAAACCCAGTCTCCTTAGACTTTTATCGTCTTGTTGGTAGAATTTTCTTAGACATGCATATAACCATATAACTAGCTACTCACTATCCTAAACTTAGGTTAAAGTGGGTTGACCGAGCTTGGAGATGACCATTGGAGGGAAAAAAAAATCCTAACTGAGTATCTATTTAAATTGCAGGGACGGAAAGGAAAAGCTAGCTGGACGAAAGTTGATTCAACATGGATGCTTTAATACCATGTTAGAATTGAGAGGGCAAGAGAGCGAATTTGAATTAAGCTGGAGCATGCTCGAGAGATATTTTTAAAAGGGCAAAAGAGACAACTGAAAGATCGGAGTATG